AATTTAACGGGAATTACTTTTATATGTAACACAAAAGTTTACGTAAGTTACAAGATCTAAAACGAAACGTACTGTTACGTACCGGTACTACGTACGTACATACGTACATACGTACAACTCAAGTTCTAAAAAAAAATATAAAAAGTGATAATGCATTAATAAATTTGGGAATGGTGACTATAGGAGAGGTCCGATAAATTTTAAATTATTAAAATTTACTGAATGAGTTTTTAAAGTTTCTTTGTTACATACAAGAGAAGAATTTATTGGAGAAGTATATGCGCTGTTTAAAGAATTATCAAAGATAGGTACGTACGGTAAGTAATAAACATTACACACGTCTTGTTTTCTTAAAAAGGGAAATATATTCAGGTGATTGAATTGATTATGCAACTTTATGTGTATGAACCAAGGATATCAAAAAACCATGCAAAAAGGATTGAAATTAAGTGGCAATTAACCTCGCATGATTTACAACGACCAAAGTTATCTCAAACAGTTACAAACCTTTAAAACAAATTTTGTGAAATACGAGTAATAAAAATAAAATGAACAAATTTAGGAATTTTAAGAAAATTAATAAAAAACTTTTAAATTAAATAATACAAAGAAGTTACAGAATGAAAGAAATCATGGTAAATATTTGAGTAACAAGCCAATCAAATTAAGAACATTATCCGAAACGAAACAAACTATGAGAGAAATTTTTGAAGAGGCATGCTATTTTGGTCAAGGTGCATTATCTATTCTAAGAGAGATCTGAGTTAGAGGAGTACGAGAATGTTTATAGTAAATGATTTGTAATAATAAATTCATTATATGACCAATTATGTTTTGCCCAGATCAAATAGAACATTCTGAAGATCCTAAATAAATAAGCTGCACGAGTTGTTTATCGTTCATATCAAAAAATCAACGTTAATACGTAATAACGTCAATTTAATAAACAATGGGGATAATAAATTAGATGTTTGAAAAAAAAAATTTAAGTGGAGAGCAGAAGATCAACTGTTAAAATCCAAAAGAGAATAAGTCAATAAAGTGAAAATTAAGAATGTAATGCGAAAAATAGAAATATTTAATCATAATATAAAAAAAAATGCAATTTAACAATTTTAACATACAGCATATATCGATACTCCTGCATCTAATATAAGAAAATCAAAGGATGCTTGTTTGCGATTTCGGATTAGTTTAGCTGTTAGTATTAATTCTGTAATATATTTAAAGATAATCATTAATTAGCTTTTTTCAATTCCACCTTTGGAAAAATGATACGTATAAAAATAACGGTAATACGTATTCAATATGCATTTTCTATCTTTACTATCGTTGTCGAAAAAAAGAATTGCATAAGTTGTACAAAAAAAATAAAATTACCTAAATTTTAACCGAATGTACTACGTTCTATTTTAGCCGAATGTAATACATTCTATTCTAATTGAATGCACGATGTGCATACCTGTGACTTCTAATTCCCGACATATATTTTTTTAAAATGGTATGAATGATGTAAGAAAGAAACCATAACAATACAGCAATAATTTATAATATTTTTTCGATTGTCTTTTAAAAAAAATACCGTATGCGAGCGCAATTCGCTCGTTAATTTTTTTAATATGATAAAAATTCTTCCAGGACATTTAAATAATTTTTTTGTCATTGTTAATAACGCAATAATAATCACATAAACATATCAAACATGCATTATACTGTTGTTATATGCATATTTATATGCATAAGCGGTACATAATCTTATCAACATAATCATCTCCGGCCAATAATCTTATCTAAAATGATCTCACTAGCTCACTTTACCGTTTGAAATGATGTAGAAATTGATCTAGCAAAGATAAGGATTCCAATTTTGGTAAAAGGCTTTCTTTTTGTACCCAATAAAAATACGATTTTTTATAGATCTTATCTTTTTGTGTTCCTTTAAACAGAAATCTGCATTGTGAAAATTTTATTTTAATGTTTATATAAAAAAAATTTTTTTTTATTTATATATAAATAAATCATTTAATCATTCATTCCTCTTATGCCATTTCGTTTCTGGTCGAGCAAATTTAAAAGAAGTACTATTTAAAATTTCCAAATCATAACAAGGTCGGTCAAAAGAGTCAACAAACTGAGAATTATAAGTTTGTTGCCAATGACTCATTATAAGTTTAAAAAAACCAGTAATATAATAACAGTAATAGTAATAATATAACTAATTAAAAAAAAAATGTCTTGTTATGCAAATATTAAGATTTTCTTCCACTCGATAAAAAAAATACCCACGTATTTTATAATTTATGTAAATAAACCGTGGGATGAATAAAGTTTGAAAGTGTCTATTAATTTATCCTTTTAAAAAAGATTTTTTTTTTTTT